GCAAGTCAAGTATTTTATATTTTAATAGTTGAGATCATGAGTCAATCGAAGTTAGACCAGCATGGAAAACCTGGAAGCACTGGACGGCCATATCGTCCTATTGTGGGGGTCCTCAACAGTGCACATACACGATCCCGCCCCTCGAGATTCAAACCCAAGACCTATCGGTCTACTGAGGAGTCTCACAATAGGACGAAACAGCCGTCCAGTGTTTCCGGGTTTTCCATGGTAGTGTAGCTTTAATTGACCCATAATCTGAACTATTAAATTACTATAATATCCGCAAAATTCTTTTCCTGATATTTTATCTTTGTTAGAACATATTAGAATGGTGTGTCTACGTCACACTACTGATACCTCCACTAGGATTAAAACATGACAGTCATCTTAACTTACAGATCACAGTTAACCATTACTTGATAAAACAAGACTTAATCATAGATATATGTAGGAACTTTATGTATTATGTATCATCGACGAACGAGGAAGATCTGATGCAGATGTAAAGGCAAGGATTCGCAAAGCAAAAGCCACATTCCTACAATCGAAGAACATATGCAACTCAAAACAACTTCCAACTAATATCAAAGTCACAATCTTCAATATGAACGTCAACACAGTCCCACTGTACGTAACTGAAACGTGGAGAACTACTAAAACCACCATCCTGAAGGTAGAAGTATTTATAAATAGTTATCTACACAAGATACTCAACATCGATTGGCCGGATACCATTAGCAACAGTCTGCCGTGGGAGAGGGCAAACCAGCTTCCAGATGAAGAGGAAATTAGGAAAAGACGATGGAAATGGATAGGATATACATTACGCAAATCACCAAACTGCATCATGAGGCAAGCTCTAACTTGTAATCGTGAAGGGAAGCATAAAAGTGGAATGCCAAATAACACATTACGTCGGTAAATAGAATCAGATATGAAGAGGATGAGTAACGACTGGAACTTACTGGAAAGGATTATTCAGGACAGGGTTGGATGGCGAATGCTGGTGAGCGGCATATGCTCCTCGACGAGGAGTAACAGGAGTAAGTAAGTAAGTATGTAAGTGAGTATGTATGTATGTAGTAACAAAGATTAACCAAATTTAATTCAATAAAATCCATAAAAAGTAACTAATACATTGTAATAATACTTACTATCTACTAACTACTTTAATAAATCTTAATGATTTTGTTCAGGTTATTAAAAATTTGTTAGTAAAATATGATTTAATTAACTATTCATATGTAATAAACATTTTATATTACATAAATAGGAAATACATTTACAAACTCAAAGTTCATTGAAACATCATAATCTAAACTAGAGACTAGATTGAATAAGTGATTATGTGTATGATTTATCTATCTATCTATCTATCTATCTATCTATCTATCTATCTATCTATCTATCTATCTATCTATCTATCTATATATATATATATATATATATATATATATATATATATATATATATATATATATATATATATATATATATATATATATATATATATATACTTGTATTAATATTAGATAAATACAGTCTTTCACAAGTACAAAATATCTTAGTTTTTTTATTTAAAAAGATCCACATCCCTTTTATACACCTTTTTTTCATATTTAGACTCCTATTCAATATGGCGTGATCTAGTTTTCATCTGTTTATTAACACTACAAAATTCTAATTATATATATATATATAGTGATTGTAGAATGTACCCGTATTTAAAAGCATAATTAAATTGATACAAAACCTGAAGAATATGCTATGAAATACGAAATGATCTATTACCAAAACGAAATTTTTCTAAATGATTGTAATCAAGTAGAAGTCATTTACTGAGATTAGATGGTGGTTGGAGGTAGTCAACAGGAAAACCTGGACCCGCGTTTCGTGCTACTTGGCACTCGTCAGCAAGGTTTACCTGTAATCTTGAGGGAAATGGTGCTCCCTGGAGGATTCGAATTTAGGGATAAAACTTTTCTTTCCAACGAAATCATTTACTTAAGCTGTACATCCGTACTTATAATTATATAGAAAATATAAGTCTATAGAAGAACAGAAAAGATTGCATCATAAATTGATTAGAGATCCGTACTATCAAGTGAAGTTACGCAATAATCAGGTGGTAAGAGAAGAATATCTCAGGACAAAGTTAGATAGAGAATCCTGGTGAGCGACTTAGGCTCCTCCATGAGGGTTAACAGACGTAAGTAAGTGAGAAAGAGAAGAATATAAGGATGAAAATAACGGACGGTGGCTCAATTTCGTTGATTGGTTGAAGTTCGACATTAACACCGTCGGATGCCAGTTGGCTCAGTGGTCTAGCGATTAAGTGCTCACGCGCGAGACCAGTAGGTCCTGGGTTCGAATCTCTTGAGGCAATGTCGTGGATGCGCACTGTTGAGGAGTCTCATACTAGGATGAAACGGTCATCCAGTGCTTCCAGGTTTTCCGTAGTAATCTAGCTTTTATTGACTCATGATTTCAACCAATGAAATTACCATAATATTCACAAAACACTCTTTTGAAAATAATTTACGGTTTAGAATTATGAAAGATAATTTTCCAATTGACACATATGAAGTAAAACGATAAACATAAAAGTCATAATAAAAACTGAATAATAACTGAGAAAATTTGATTGAAGGGCAATAGTAACTGACTAGAGTTTAAAAGTACAAATCACGTATTTAAAAATCAATAATAATAAAAATAAAAAATGGGGAAGCAGGGCCAACGAAGGATGAGAGGTTGTACTTAAAGTTCGGGCTTGAGTTAATGGAGTGCTAACGTTCTAGCAGTGCACTGTTTGGGTAAATGATTTCTTTGAAAAGAAAAATTTTCTTACTGGATTCACTTTATTTTTATTCATAAATGATAATCCATTTTAAGGTTAGTTATTCAACCCTATGGTTATCTAGTTGTGTAAAGTTGATAAGCATCTTTCAAACCAGGTTTATCTTAAAAGCTTCCAAAATACCTGATAAAAATGTAAATTAAGTCCCAGTTTGGAATTTTCATGACGAGAATATTGGAGTAAATATGCGCTTTGCTTTGTCTATTCGATAATGGTTATATCTAACTTAAAAATTACTATCTAAACTTACCCAATATAAAAGTGAATATTGGGATTACCAATAAGATTAATTTCGAATTACTGAAATGTTATGCATTAGGGTATATAACGACTAACCCTTAATTTTACTGTTACAATCAACATGATAATGGCGTTGTTGCTTATTCTAGTATCATGAAATTATCAATAAAAATTACTAAAAGAAATAGAGTAATTCATTTCCTCAGACAAACAGCATAAAACGGTACACTCTAGAAATAGGTTTAATTACTTTATATTGTGATATTATCATGATCATTTAGTGACTTTTATGTGTGATCTTCATATCCAGTATCATAGAATCATTAGCCATCTGTTTTATTGTTGTTTGAAACTTCATTCCAATGTGAACTTACAACAACTTACAAGATACAGTTGAAGAATGCATGTAATTATTTGACAACCAATGATGTAAAACTGTATTAAAGTTTAACAATGAACATTTTTACTATTACAAGTAGATAGAAACAATTACTAAACAAAAATAGCGCACATTTGACGTCAGTAACCCAGAGAATAATATATTGATGTTTAAATCGAAAAATATTAGATTCAAGTCTTAGTGTGGAAATCAACTGTGAGATTCAATCATATTCAGCTGATCAGTTAAGAATAAAACATGTATTCTGAAGTCAAATACTAACCACAACCCATTTATTTATAAAACCTGAAACAATATTATGGTATCTAAGCAATCCGCTTACGATACACATGTGTCTAATCAGACCGATCAATTACAGTGTTTAAAATGTTATTAATGAAATACTGTAAATCCTTAAAAATAAGGTAAAAGATCTATTTATGAGACTAATTCGAGTAGGAAAACTTGAACTGTAAAAATTATTGGGTAAATTGTCTTGACAACAACAACAAAAAAAACAGCAAAGAAACTCAATACTTCAAAGAAAAAAAAAGACTTTTGCATTTTGTTACGAAGTCGTTGATACAAGAACTTAAAAAGGTAATCAGTTATCGATTTTCAATTTAGAAAATCAAAATATTTAATAAATTAATTAGACTTACATTAATTTATATATAACTGAACATTGTGAATTACTTTCAAATGAATAGTTGTCTTTGAAATAAACTAGAAATTTACAAAATTAATCAAGACATATATACGTATATATGTATATATACATGAAGTTATATTCATTGCCTTTTAATGTACTTTATACAGTTCATTTCATGTAGTAATTTAATTGGAAGACAATTTACATGGAGATTTTTTTGTCTAACCTCAGAGAACAAAGCTCCGTCAAAATCATCCACTTGATCTACAAATCTTCTCCACTATCTCAAGACAATTTACATTGAGAGAAGAAGGAGAAGAACAAGGTGAAGAAGAAGAGGAAGAAGAAAGAAAACAAACAAACATTTAAAGAAATTCAACTGATGAAATAGTCTCTCAGATATCGATATGTAACAATATAGTTATAGGATAAAACCATTTTGGATTTTATCCATAATTTCAGATATGAATAGAAAACAAAACAAAACATAACCGAACAAAAGGCACGTATAAATAATGATACAGAAAACTAAAACAAACAAACAAACGAGAAAATGAAGAAGTTAACAAATAAAAAAGGGTAACTTTTAAGTTGTTGTATCACGATTAAACAAATTACCTTTATGTATGAACAAAAACAGATATGTAGGTACAATGAAAGACTTCATTATCTTATTAGATAATACGAAAAAGGAGAATAAGTAAATAAGTAGTATGTCATAAATACACAAAAATTCTATAATTTTGATGCTAAACATCGACTATTTAATATAGCTAATATAACAACTTGTGAAGCTGTTACACTACCAATTAATGATAAAGTATATGACCAATATGGTAATTTCCAATATGTATATAATAAATTACCTGTTAATACAGCACTAGCTGAAACAAATAAAATCATTAATTTAATTGTTGTACATACTGGCCCAGGTATCCATTTACTATTACAAGCACCAAATAAATCACAAAGGAATATTAATCCTAAACCACCTACACCTGCAGATAATAATATAAGAACAATAATAATCGGTATAGTTTTAAAACATTGAGTATATAAATTTCCACATGGCCAATCCGCAGTAGCTAATGCATAACCTAATAAACCAATTGATAAAGCAAGTAATGGAAAATGTAAATGATTTGGATTGAATAATCTTCCAGGCATTATTATAAATTGATAATTTATATGTATATAATCACTATGGTATTACTATTGACTGATAGGATAATAATAATAATAATCCGACAGAATATTATAGTTATTTTGTGTGTTGGCAACTAGTAAAATGTTTAGTAAATCTGATTTATCATTCATCACATTAATATTTCATCTTTTAAGTATATATATATATATATATATATATATATATATATATATATATATATATATATATATACATATAAATCATAACTATAGATGATTTATTAAGCTTTGATTGGTGAGATACTTTTCTTCTTCTTAATAATAATAATGATAACCTATTCAAACATCTTGTATACAATGTGAGTATATGTATGTTACTGTGTATCAATGAGTTACTCAATAAGTAACATACGTGTTTTTCAACATATATATCAATGTTTAAATGTTTACTTGTCTATGGGTATATATCTCTATGTATGAATGTACAGTTTAATGATATCCATTAAAATGAACATGATTTAACATACAAGATAGTATATAAAAGAATAAATACAATGATCTGATCATTATGATCTATAATAAAAAAATGCTGGTTTTTATAAAATTCCTTTATTATACATATACTGTTTTTAAGTCAAGGTAATGATATAGAAAGGTCAGACTATATTTGAAAGTTATAGTTTTGTATTTAGTTTTATTACAATTGTATAATATGGTGGTGATCGATACCGTGTTTGCGAGAGACTGAGTGAGTGAGTGAGTGAGTGAGAGAGAGAGAGGAAGAGTAAACTAAACACTAAGATATAAAATAGTTATTTCAGTGAAATCATATAATATCTTCTGTGATTTGAATCATTAATCTTTAGAGAAATGACAATTTATCATATTTGTTCTATTATGCGTTTTAAGATTTGTATTCAATATAAAGCATCAGTGTTATTAAGTAGCAGCCTAAGTTGGACACCTATTGAAATAAAATAGAAGAAAGTCCAATGTCTGACAGTTAGTCACGTCATTGATGTTCACTGTAGCTTCTAGTTTCAATGGATATCTATTCATGATATCAATAACATTCACTAATCGCCACTAAACATCTATACTGATAAATACGTAGTTATCAAAAATAATAGAATGAATTACTGAAATTTTAATGACAATGATTGTCATTTCAATCTAAATGAATTTAAATTTTCTTGGGTTATGTTACAATCACATTAGTGCTTACAAATTATGTTTCTATTATTGCTTACTTACTTACGCCTGTTACTCCTCGTGGAAGATCATAGGCCATCCACCAGCATTCTCCATCCAACTCTGTCCTAAGCAATCCTTCCTAGTTGTTTCCAGTTGTTATTTATCCTTTTCATATCTGCTTCCAAATCTTGATACAATATGTTCTTCATCTTTTCTTTTCAAGATTCTGAGTTAGAACATTCCTTGAGATGCAGTTTGTTGATTTCCGTAATGTATGTCCTATCTACTTTTAGCGTCTTTTCCTAGTTTCTTCATTGGATGGACGCTGATTTATTCTCTCTTACAGGTGTTGATGGTATCCAATCAACGGACATTGAGTATCTTGTGTACTAATTTTTTATTTATAGTGAGGGGAATTTTCAAGAAAAAGTATTACATAATTCAGTAAAGTTTTTCGTAAAAGGCATTCGAAAATTTGGAGATTAACTGCCATTTATCTTTGATAGATATGGATGAATAAGTGAAAGGCATGAAACTCTGATAACTACTGATCGACGGTGAATTATTACACAGATATTTGTGTATCGATTAAATATTTGGTTTTAAAAATAATTATATTACATTACTTCATTCAAATCATCTTTTATAAAGCACAATTAATTAATCATATTCCAGTTACTGGGGTTTGTAACACAAATAACTTAGTCATGTATCGATTGTAATTACTCTTTTTATAGGATGTTGCGGTCTTCTAATTGAAGCATATTACCATGTATGTTCTGAGTTATAAAATACACAGAGTAAATATCTGGCCATTCTCGTGCTCCGACTGGACAAACTAAAGCGAGGGGCAGAAGGCGATTTCGTGAGTCAATCAGTTTCAGAATACTTAATGAACATATCGGTTGAGCGTTATTAGCATTACTAACGTAAAGCGGACTCATTCTTAGTGAACGTACTAATTAAGTGGGGATATAGAAGTGAAGTTATGCTAGTCGTCAACTTTAAAAGTTTTCAAGTATATTATTTATAATACTCCTGACATCTATTATTTTCACTGTAACTGGTTGTGTTTAACTAAAAGATAAAAAAGTAGGAAAACTTACCAACTAATACGACTAATTAGTGCCTTCTTTATTGTTTGACTGGACCAAAATGCATTCATTATGAAAACTCTAAAATTCATTCTTTGTAATAGATAGATGATTAAATTAAATATTAGTCTGCTAAAATTTTAATAGAGAAAAATTGTTGGGACAGTGATTATTGGTTGGGATTTGTAATACCCTCTTGTTGATATTTAGTACTACAAATGATCAATCTCTATTACCAGATGCCTATGCCTCAATACAATATTTTGTTGCAAGGTTTTGCATTTTCAAATGTATGAGAAGTGTGAGTTGTGGATTCCGCTACTAACTGAAACCCAAATAAACTATCAATAATTGTTGCTTAAAAATATTTTAACCTTTTATTTTAATAGTTGAATTCATGAGCTGATATAAGCTAGACTACCATTAAAAACATGGAAGCACTAAACGGCCGCGTCGTCCTAGTAATAGACTCCTCAGCAATGCGCACCCACAATCCCACACGTGAGACTCGAACCCAGGACCTTCGGTCTCGCACGCGAACGCCTACCCAGTAGACCACTGACCTGGCAACCAACGATGTTAATGTCTAACTACCATCGATCTACAATCTTGCACAACCAATCATCTATTGTCTGAGGTAGATACCTATCTCTACGCGATATCTGATACAATTTATACCATGAGGGTTAAGATAAACAAAATATTTATGACAACTGAATCGGTGGCCTGCTTGAATATCTGGGCTACTTGTTCCTGACATCTAGATATTTCATCTGTCTTTTGTCTATTTCAACAGATGATTATGTCCCTTGTTCTAAGACTTTTTGGAACATGTTCAAAAAATCTAAGATATGCTCTCCTTTCAGTTCGGCCGATGTAGCTGCTTTGGTAGCAAATTATTTATAATTAGTTAAATTCTAACGGAATACTTCAGTGGTTACTGATTTAAATCTCATTTGTTTTCAAGGGTTTAAGAAGTTTATAGTTAACAATCTATGAATTATCTCAAGGATTTTAATAACATCAAGATATTTATCAAACGTAATACTTACAAATTCACTAAGAAACAATAAGTTGTTAGTATAAGAAAATAATAATTTTATTGTATTAGTTAGATCTATAATAATGTTTTCAATGTAGCGCACATAATTAACTGTATTCTAATCAGTGATATAAAAAATGAGGCAAACTTTGAAAATAAAGTCCAATTATGTTTAGAAATTTACACTTAACAACATTGTTAGTAACTATCCACCTACAATATATTGACATTTTGAGCTTTTTTTAATAACTAGCCGCCATTACACCAAATCTTCTGTTAACTTTTGCTAGTTGCTCATCGTCTCAAAGAGAATCGCCATAAGTTTGTAGTGAGCAGGTGATTATTATCAGGATGGGTTTTGTGGAGATTTTTAGATGCGCACTGCTGAAAAGTCCCATACTAGGACGAAACGCCATCCAGTGCTTCCAGGTTTTCCATGGTGATCTAGCTTCAATTGATTCATGATTCCAATCAGTGAAATTTCTAAAAATCTTCAAAAAACCCATTCTGATAAAAATATAGCATTCGTTGATAAGTAAACTGAATAGAGAAAAGAAGTAATGTTGAACAGAAAGCACAAAGAATTAACAATGTAATTTTCCCCTTTTATCTTGTCATATTGTAATGTGTGCTTCTGATGTCGACAGATATAAATAGTATGTATCACCAATCGAAAATGAAATACCTGGCAGAAGATCGAAGAGAAGAGAACGAGAACAGAGAGTGATTTGTGTGGAAACGAAAGAACAATGAAGTCTGAGACAATTATTTGACATTTTGCAAATGAAGTATTTATTGTATGGTTCTTAGATTTTACTAAGACATTCTGTAATTCTATATTCTAACACATTTGATTGTCTCTATTGATAGTCTCGTCTACAACAATATCATTCACCTACAGTTCAGAACGATACATAGTTTTGCAATTAGGTTTTATTATCAAGAAAAGCAAAGGTATTGCTCTGAAAAATGAAAACAACTGATTGATTTTTCTAATTATCAAATCGTATTATTTAAGAGAAATGAAAATATTTAACAGTTGATCAATCCAGAATTGTATACATTTAAATTTATTTATGAGGGAAATGTAAATTTAATATGACAGTTTGGAATGGAAGGATCAAGTAATTTAGAAGTTTCTTTTCTTTTTTTAGTTAAATAATTTGCACTTCTTACTAGCTGTTAAGTTCGTTACTGGGTTAACACAGGACATGGTATACAATTACGGCAGTCGAGCGTATAGAACCCCCACAGTGGCAAATCAAAAGACGGAAGAAGACTGGAGAAATGCTTGTTGGATAAGATATTAGCGTTCGTTATACCTAATTACGCCTGTTCCTCCTCTTGAAGGATCATAGGCCGCTCACCAGCATTCTCCATCCAACCCTGTCCTGGACAATCCTTTCCAGCTTTTTCCATTTGTTATTCATCTTTATCATATCTGATTCTATTTACCGACGTAATGTGTTCTTTGGCACTCCACTTTTCCATTTTCCCTCACGATTCAAAGTTAGGGCTTGCCTCGTGATGCACTTTGATGATTTCCGTAATGTATATCCTATCCATTTCCATCGTCTTTTCCTAATTTTTTCTTCAGATGTAAGCTGGTTTGTTTTCTCCCAGAGAAGGCTGTTGCTGATGGTATCTGGTGAATGGATGTTGAGTATAATGCGTAGACAACTCGCTAAAAA